TGCCAGCCTGATCAACAGAGCAAATTCCAGAACTGCCAAGCTTAAGCAGTGAAGGGAAGCATTGGGGGAAAAAAGCAGCAGAACTTGGCAGCATTGGTCACATGGTTCTGGCTTTACAGTCAATGATAGAAGAAAGACATCTCCTTTCATGACTAAGATATTCTATGAGGCTAGGAATGTGTCAGGGCTGTCACTGAATGGAGCTTTACAAAGGCTTTTTCTCCCCATAAAATAGTGAGGGTGAAGTCTGGATTGCCTTGGAGACCCTAAGATGGTGGAGATGCCAGAGCTGTGGGATACCTTCTAAGGAGAGCTGCTAAGAGGAAGTGGAACCAGCACAAGAGGAAGAAGACAACAAAGATGAAAGGAATTGAAGATCTGAAGAGTGCTTTAGCATCAGACATGGAGGTGCAGAGTTTGAAGTTTGTCCAGCTGATATTCAGTTTTGATTTTTTCCAGTTTTCCCCCCTTCCCTACCTTTTGGAACAGTAATGTATATTCTGTTCCATTATATGTTGGAAGTATGTGATCTTTAGATTTTTGAATTAATAGGGGATTTCAGTTAAGAGATTGGAAGACTCTCAGAAGGGACTTTGTGCTTTGGACTTTTAAACATAGTAGACTCTGAGGACTTTTGAAGTTGGAATGAATGCATTTTTGCATTATGACATGGCTACAATCATTTGGGACTAGGGACTGGAGTGTGATGGTTTGAAAGAAAAGGGCTCCCGATGGGAGTGGACCTAAAAGGAAGTGTAGCTTTGTTGGAGTTGGTGTGGCCTTGCTGGAGGAAGTGTGTCATTTTGGTGGTAGGCTTTGAGGTCTCATATATCTTCAAGTTATGTCGAGTGTCTCAGATCAAATCCTGCTATTTGCAAGTTAGGAGGTAAGACATTTGCCTACTTCTCCAGCACCATGTCTACCTGCACACCACCATACCATGCCATGATAAAAAGGATTAAACCTCTGAAAATCTGAGCCACTCATTTTAGTATTTTTCCTTTACAAGGTTGCTGTGGCCATGGTTTCTCTTTAAAGCAATATAAATTCTAAACTAAGACATTAAGTGATTTGTTAAACAACTGTCAATATTTCTAGCATCAGATAGCTTAAATTTCCCTTTGTGTTAAATCTCTCTTATACATTATTCCTTTTATTCTGTATTATTTCATTCCATGCCTTTGCCACTAGTATTTATGAATTCAATATTTGTAACTACAGGGTAATGCATGCTTCAAGTATGTGTACCTCTATTTCTATACCTGTCACTGAGAATTTCTGGAAAAGTGTATAGCTGAAGGAGGGAATTAAGGACAAAACAGTAGAGCTCTATCTAATCCCACAAGGAAATCTCTTCAGATCCTGAGAGTTTTGTTTGTCTTAAAACCTCTCTGAGATAAATGGTTTTCCGCTGTCTACAGCTTATGTTTTGTAAGCAGTAAGTGTCTAGAAAGCTTTCAGTTTCTTTGCTCCCCCTTCATCTTTTAATAACTGACATGTTGTGATCTGCTCTAGAATTCTTGATTTTTCCTTTCATCTTCTTTCCCAATCTTAATAACATTTAGCTGGAATTTTGTATAATTTCTCTTGCCTGCTTGAAGTAATGCTTTGACCTTTATTTTCAAACAAGAGTAGGATTTTGTTTTAAATTTCCTTTTGTGGGTTGAAACAAGCTAAATTAGCTCTTCTCTCAGCTCAGCTTTTAATCTCTACAATGAAAACACTTTCTGATATTGTTCTTTTGATAATACTCCGTTTCAATTTTAATGAAATGACTTTTGGTAGTGATGAATTATTTATTGATAGAGACATTGTGAGTTTTGTTTTTCATATTGAACTGTGAGCTAATAGTTTAGTTTATAAAACATCACACTGTCTTTTCTTTTTTTCCCAAAGAGAAATAATATCACGTATGTATTGGTTATTTTTCTGCTGCTGTGATAAAACACCATGACCAGGGTAACGTATTGAAGGAAGGGTCTTTCTGTGTTTCTATTTCCAGAGGGATAAGAATCTACCTCCACCATTAGGAGGAAGCCTGGCAGCAAGTGCCTGCTATTGCAGCAGGAACTGTTCACATCCTGAACTGCAAAAACAAAACAGAGAGTAAAGTGGTGATGTGGGGAGGCTTTGGAAACCTCCAAAATCATTCCCAGTGACACATCCCCTTCAGCAAGGCTGTAGACCCTAAGCTTTACAAAACAGTGCCACCAACTATTCAACATGCCATCTATAGCATCAGCAGCTGTGTTGTGTGGATACCAAACCTCTTATCTGTAGTGTGACCTGAGGGACATCTAACATTTGCTTTCCTCTCTAAGCTCTTTGGTTGCTTGGTGTTTTATGAGCCTTTATAATCAAGCTTGCACTTAGAGCCATGGACTCTCTGTGTAGCTTTGCTAATATTATTTCAAGGATAGGCTATTCTCTTAAGCTTGTTTGTCCTTGTGGTCATGGGAAATATATATTGGAATATATAGGAGGTATAGTATTATAGTCAGATAAGTATCAGGAGTACTTAATTCTTTTTGTGTCCTTGTACATTTTTTTCATTATTGTGTTTACTATAGAAGAATAGCTTTTTAAGAAAGAAACTAGAAGACCTAATATTTTGAACAAGCGTCTTAATTTCAGTGTCCACTCAGTGCTAGACAAAAACCTGAAAAAAATATCCAATCTGGTTTGTTTCCCTTCCATATTACATTTATAATATTTTGACACAGAGAGTAGTGACCAGGCATCATCACAGAGACTGATTATGTGGCCTTTCAACATTCACTTTCTATCTGCATGAGGGTGAGACTTGAAAATAGACGTTCTCTGTGGAAGTGAAAGAAGGCCACTGGCAATGTGGCAGGTAAGGAGCTGTAAAAATAGAATGACGAGTCAGGTACACTTTCCAAGTGTAAACTGCCAGCGAGCTGTCAACTGCCAACAGGAATTACAGCTCCATCCTATGAAGGCCTCACATCTGAAGTGTTTAAACATCTCAGACTTCACTGAGACATCAGGATATGCTGTTTCTCTGGTTGTCACTCTCACCCACTTCCTGCTGTCTTAAAATAAATAAAGACATATTCTTGATCTGCGTAATATTTTTTTTCAAAATGAACATATGAGAAAGACAGTCACAAAGAAGCAGAGAGAAAGATAGACAGAAAGACAGACAAAAAGACACTGAGAAACAGAAAAAGACAGACACACACCAAGACAGAGGAGGCTCCCTAGAAGATTGCCACATGTTATATAACTGTATGCATTATATTTTGGTTAATAATTTTATGCAGTTTTTCAAATTGTATTCTCAAATTCATTCATATTTCTTGCTGTGTGCTATTTAGTTCCTGCTATCTTCAGCTTAATACAGTCTTTGTATACTAAGCACACGTTTGCCATTTGAACTAATTCTATGCTTAATAATGGAAGGTAATGAATTTATTTTCAATGATAATAAAAATATTTCCTTAAAAATATTTCCTTAGATCTCCAAATTCTTGCCATTTCTTTTCTTCCTTCATATTTTTCTTAATACTTTTAATCTTTTCTTATTTTGCCTCGGGGAACAGCTACATGAATATTTGTTCACGATAGTAGAATGAGCAAATTTTAGGAAGGGTTAACACAGTTCTTTTTCTTTCTCCATTAAAAGCTGGCTCAAGTGACTAATTTGGACATCAGTCTATTGGTTTGCTTTGTAACTAAGTAAAATGAAAACTCATGAACTTTTGCCAAACATCTGGTGAGTAAAGATGTTCCCAAGAAGAAGGTGTTTCTGTCACTGCAGAAAGGATGAGTAGAAGTAATAGCATCTGCTACTTTAAGGTTGTAGACCATTGGTTTCCTTTGTAGTTCTAGTACAAAGACATTATGGTGTTAAACAATTGGGAATTTTGAAGCTTTTTCTCAACCACAAGTTCTAATTATTCATAGGGCTCTTTGATTTTTCTATAGTACATTCTTTAACGTAGGAAAGAATATACTGTACTATTGTTCAGTCCTTCTATGTGATACAGCCTTTTAAATTCCACCAGTTTCATAACTACTCAGGGGAATAATGTTATAAAGAAGTTGTAAAAGAAAGTTTTAAATGAAAAATTAGTTTAACCAGGTATAACAAAGGATTAAAATAACATCATGATGCATCTTTCCAAATGTTTTGGTGTTAGAATTTTTAAACATGTGCTTAGGAGTCCTAAGCGAGTCATTTTTTTCTGCTTATCAGTAACAAGAAATAAAGAGCTCTGTGCATGTTGTCCTTATGCTTAATTAACTTTTTCATAATGACACAGCTTTATGGAGAATAACATCTTTCTTCTAGTGTCCTCCCCGATAACTAAATGCCTTTACTTTCTTTTTCTATAATATTTATAAATGATAATTAATTCACACCTATGTTCATGCTTCATTGTATCACCTATAAGATATGTCACAACAGAAAAATGTGTATTTATTTTAGATATACATATTAGCCAAGAAATTATAAAACATATGATGAGAATAGTTTCTCAAAAACAACCATTCAATTAACAGATACTTTTAAAAAATAAATTCAACTTCTTCCTAGACAACTCTTTACAAATTTCTGATGTCTAAAATTTCTTTCTTTTATATCTAGTTTGTTTCTTTTTTCCTTATGATGTTGGCTGGAAATGGTAGTTCAGGCTTGAGATCCCAGCATTAAAGAGAAGAAGGAAAGGTCTGCGAATTTTAAGAGCATCCCGGACTATATAATGAATGCAATGCCTCCTATGATGCATATAGAAACATGAATTCTTGGACTTTCTCCAGTGATAGCCTCATATACGTTAGCATTTGGTTAAACACATGACCTGTTTATCTTTAAAATGGTGGTCCAAAGTAACTTGGAGGGGAAGTGTGTAGAGGAAGAACTGATAAGAGTTAGAACAAATGTGGGGGTGAATATGATCAGAATACATTAAAAGCATTCATGAAGTTCCCAAATAATTAACTAAAATAAAATTTAAAAGGTCTCATTATCTGTGCTTTCTTTTGCAACATGTATTCTAAAATTGAAATAATACTGAGAAGATTAGTCTGGCCTTATGTAGGGATAACTTGCAAATTCACAAAGTATTTCATATTTTTATGTCAGCCTATAAACTACATATATAGTTTAATGGAAAATCCCCATTTGTGCCAATAATGCTGATAATACTCTAAGAATTTAGACTGACAAAAAACCCCAACACCAATCATGAAAAGCCATCTTTCAAGTTATTGGTCAGGGTTGGGTAAGAGACTACAAAAATATTACAGGCTCTTTCTATTGCCTTTGGATGTCCTGAGATGTGGAATCTAAGTCCATATTCCTCAGGATACCATGCTCTTCAAACACAGGGTTCATAGTCATCTGAGATAAAACTGAACTGAAAGTCTTCCTGAAGAGGGCCTTTCATAGTATCTGAAGTCACCACACAGTCTTCCAAAGTAGGAGGACCAAAATTCCTACCCAGCTCTGATTGCTATTGTGACTATGAAGCACAAAGCATGGCGCGATACTTTTAAGGGTAGGTAACCAACAGTTCTCTAGTCACATTTAAAACCCATTTAATATGAGGGAAAGCATGTCTATTATAAGAAACATAGACAAATACTCAGGGATAGTGAAGTCATGAATCTTGGAGTAGAACCTACATCCACCACTTTACTAAAACAATACAATCCTCAACTACATTCCAAGTATGCATCCTTATACCCACACATTGGTGTACTTTAAATCTCTATTAAGGAAACTTCCCTTTGCAACAGACAAAAAAAAAAAAAAAAAAAAACTAGTAGAGAATACCATAATCAATAAAATCACACAGTTGTGAGGCTCATTCCCAAAGTATATGTCTACAACACAACTTGACATCCAAGACTCAGAGAACATTGTCGAAGAATCATAAGAGCAAGAGGACTAGGAAATCTTTGAAATTGCATCATCTAGAATTACACAAGTTAAATCAATAAAGTCTCATCAACAGGATTGCTTAAGTTTGAGCTGGACAAGGACAGGAACAATATACATGATGCTGTGAATGAGAGAAACTCAAGGAAATTTCAGTTCTAGACAAAGAACTACAGGGAACTAAAGAATGCCGTGAGCAGGAAAGCACGGATATTGGTGATTCATTACCAACTGGTCAGCTATTAAAAACATACAAACAAGTAACATGTAGAATAATTGACTTTTATTAATATAAATGCATATACACATATAGGTATAGATTAGATGTAGATATCAAAAATTAACTGAAAAAAGGGCCACAAATTTGAAAGAGAACCAAAAGGTAAATGGGTAATTGGATGATTGGAGATGAAAGCAAATGAAAAGGGGAAATTATGTTATATTACAGACTCACAGAAAAGAAACGATTCGCAATATATATAAGAAATGTCATTATCTCCTATAGCACACTCAATCTCCAGTACTGGCCACTTTTGCTTCAGTTGTTACATTTCCACTGTTAAAGATCTGGTTAAAAAATTCCAGGTGGAGGAAGTGAATTTAAGAACAGAAACATGAATTGACAAATAAAGACTTTAATTTGCTGGAGGGGAAAGTTATAATTGTGTTATTATTTGGCTTTGAATCAGTCCTCTAATGTCCATGTCTCAAGGTTTTATTGGAGGTGATAGAACTTTGAAAATGATTACTGGAAAATGATTATTTTATTACAGTTTCAATGATGTAAGCAAATTTATTCTGCCTCTTGATCCCCATTGCTTATAGTCATGATGGTCTCAAACGATGGTCTACCACATTCTCAAACAATAAGATAAAAGACTATGAACTATAACTCTTGAAACTTGAAAACAAAGATTAAAATTTCCTTCTTTTAAGTTAATAATTTTAGATATTTCATCACAGCAACATTAAACTTATTAACCTATGGTTCTCAATGGTATGAGAAAAGACTATATAATATATAGTATATGTTTAAAATTGTTTAATTATATATATATATATATATTTAATGATGTCAAAATTGCATGCCACTTAATTTTCTTAAAATTTCCTTTACTTTGTAATGGTTTATGAACAACAATGTCATGCTATATATAGAAGTAGAAATCTCCGGATGGGCTATAGATTCTAGAGTACACAAAATGGAGTTAAGCTAACACATATACACAGATTCTTACATTATAATTTTTATATTTTACTTTCTCTGTGTATGTTGTTTGGCTGCCTGATTAATGTGTATCAAGCACATGCTTGTTATCTTTGTAAGGCGGAAGATGGCATTGAATTTCTTGTAACTGTAGTTACAGTTAACTTTGCGAACTGGGAATTGAACCCAAATCTTCTGAAAGAGCAGCCAGTGATCTTAGCCACTAAATTACCTCTCCAACTACTGTTACTTAGATATTTAAAACTTCAGTATCAGTGTTCCTTCATAAAATCAAGTTTATTATACACTTTCCACTAACACAGAGGTCTAGTCAACATCAGATAGTCAGCTGGTCTGCTTGTGTGTGTGTATGTGTATATGTATGTGTGATGTGGGATTCCCCTCTGTATTCTGTGAATACCATTGTTTAATAAAGAAACTGTCTTGACCTGTGATAGGGCAAAAGAAAAGGAAGGCGGGGAAAACTAAAATAAATTCTGGGAGAAAGGAGGCAGAGTCTGGGAGAAGCCATGTAGTCTTGCCAGAGACAAGTGCTGGAACTTTAGCTGGTAAGCCACAGCCACATTGTGATAGACAGATTAATAGAAATGGGTTATGAACAGTTAATTCATTAATATGAACAGTTAGCCAATAAGAAGCTAAAGCTAATGGGCCAAGCAGTGTTTTAAATACAATAGTTTCTGCGTGATTATTTTGGGGCTAAGCAGCCAGGAACCTACAAGCGGCTTCCTCCAACATATGTGTGTGTGTGTGTGTGTGTTGTGCATGTGTATGTGTGTGTATGTGTGTGTACACACACATATCTATTATATAGCAGTCTCATTTTGAACTTCTTTTTTGCAAGGAAAACTAGAAATCCAGTGGGTATCATGAGGTCTGTAAAAAGATACAGAAGTAGAAACCACAGGTAACTCTGATTTTATGGATGAAATTGCATGGCTATAAATAGGAGACAGCTACACAAAGATCCATGTATAGTACTCAGTCACTTCAAGCCTCAGAACTAGTTCTCAGACTAAGATAAACTAGTAGCTACAGGAGCTTGACATGGGAAAAATTCATAGCATTCCATTACAAAGTGTCTGAAAAAAATAGGTCTTGATTGACATATTTGCGTACTCTCATTCATTTCTGGTCCCTCAAACAAAAAAATGAATATAACAGTAGATAAAATTACTAAAATGAAGTCTTTTCAAGTAATTTCTGAGAGAAACATTTATAACGACAAGGAATAAATAACAAAACAGAAGGCAACAAAGTCTAAAGCAAACAAAGAATAGAAATGGCAAAACAGAGCAAGATTTTAAGTTCACAGTGTTCATGGTTAATATACTTTGATATTTCTCATACATTCAAATGACAGTATAATACACATAAAAACAAATTTATTTAAAATTCAGATTTGCATATCATCAACTATAGACTTAAAAAATCAATATCAAGCAATGACACATAAAGCTATTTTCATTTCAAAGACTAAAATAACAATAAAATTTGGTCAGTTAATAAGATACATCAAAGATCATCTGTTTTCAACTGATATGGCCTTTGATATAATAATATGAATGTACTATTGGCATTTAAACAAAAATAAATATGAAGTATATTTTGCTATGAAAGGATTAAAAATTCAGTAGAAGGGGTTATTAGCATAACTAATAGATTTTGGTAAATTGGAAGCTTAATGCTTGAACTTGAAAAATATGAGCAAGTGCAAATGTTTTGTGCAAACAAATGAAGTGAACCACCTGGGAGTAAATCTAGGAGATTTATGAACTCTACATATAAAGATATGTATAAAAATATCATAATATTTTAAAAATAGTTTGTGTTCTGAAAACCCCACTACAAATAGAAAGAGAAGCACACAGTCTTTTCTTAGATCAGTTACAAATATAACTACAAATTCAATGTGACCTCAAAATATCTCAATATTTTTAGAGGTTTGAGCAATGATGTTTAAACATAAGCCTTAAAGTTTAGATTGGAGTAATCACAAATGATAATTGTCAATGAAATATTAAAATACAAGAGAAATGATAACATGATGGCAGTAACTATTAACATGACTGCAAAACCCAGCAAAATTGGATACACAATTCTGGCAAAGCTCACAAAAAATAATCAAAGATCAGAGTTTGAATAATATGATATAGCAGAGGTCAAAAATAAAACCAAAGGAGAGAAATCTCTTTCAATCTCCTTTCATCACACATAGAAAACTAACATATGTTAGTTTTCATAAACCACATATGAAAACTAACATCCACATATATCTAATAATTAAAAAGCACAAAGAAAGATGTTATTTAAATTTTTAAAACAAAATTTGTGATTAAATACAACACTTGATCTTAGTCAAAATGTCAAACTCTGATCCATTTTGAGGTTAGAAGAAAAAGATTTCAAAATAATAACAAACATTAGAAATCTGTAAGAATCATTGATGGATATTAAAAATAATTATAGGTTCAAAAACATAACAATAGCAAGAACAATAATTGTTTCTCACAAGTTAATTAGAGTTGTTTATCCCCCAATAAAAAGACTGCAATTTTAGAAAGGTGTTATTAGATTTTGTTGCAGTGTGGATATCATAGAATATGCTTATATTTACCTGCATTGAGTAGCCTTATGAACAACTAGTTATATGGCATCTTCTATTGCACGTGTGACCTACTATTGACCTAGAAATTCTCTTGTGAGGTATGTGTATATCAAGAATTAACATCTTTAATGTATGTAGTCATTTGTAAAGGGTTAGAATTATATAGATTTTAGATTTTTCTACATATGTTAGGCAAATACTCTGTCTCTGAGTTATATTTGTAACTCTTTAGAAACTTTTAATTTTTAAAAATAGATATAATAATGTTATTATGTTTATCATTTTATATGTTTGTTAGTGAAATATTAAGCAACTATGAAACATTAGGATAAAGTAAAGAAAAACATTAACAGAGTGTT